TCTTGAGATTATTGTCTCAAGGATCTTACCAGTGATTGACAAGAGTGACACTGGTCTGTAGTTGCTGATTTCTGCTCTGCTCTTCTTTTGTGAACAGGGACTACATTTGCCTCTTTCCATAGAGAGGGCCATTTACACTGTACTAGGCAGTGCTGAAAGATGCGAGTTAGAGGTGCTGCTAGCTGGTCTGCACAACTTCTCAACAATCTTGGGCTCAACTTGTCTGGGCCCACAGCCTTTTCTTGGTCCAGCGATTTAAGAAGGAAATGCACCTCCTCCTGCCTTATTGTCACCACTGACAGTTTTGACACAGTTCTTGCAGCTAGCCAAGGAGGGACCCTTGCTGGATCAGGAACTTGCATTTTGGTAGCAAATAGGTCCACCTTCTCTTCACTACTAGTAGAGGTGGTCCCATCCTGTCGATTTAGAGGTGGAATAAGTTCATCAGGCAGATAACCTTGTCTGTCCTTGACCAGGGACCACCAGATTTTGGAGCCTACCCTACCTGATGCAAGCTTTCTCTCTCCCTCCCTCCCTCCTCCTCTTCCCTCTCTCTCTCTCCTCTCTCTCTCTCTCTCTCTCTCATCTCTCTCTCTCTCTCTCTCTCTCTCTCTCTCTCTCTCTCTCCTCTCTCTCTCTCTCTCTCTCTCTCTCTCTCTCTCTTCTTCTTCTTCTATATATACCTGATATTGCTTCACTCTGGGGTAAAAAATACTTCATTTCTGGTGTGTATATTAAAGGTTACGTTGTGAGGAGGTGACACCCAAGTGATAGTAACTCCAGCTCTGCTGGAACTACCACTACAACCACCATCACAACCATTACGATTACTACCACCAGCCCACCGCAACCTCCACCTTTCCCTTACCACAACCATAATCATTATCAACAACAACACCATACCGCCACAAAATCCACCACTACTGCTATCTCCACCACCACCACAACCACCACCATAAACTTCACCAGAACCCCATCATACACCTGGATGCTTAGTTATTAAAACGTCAAAAGTGAATGAATTTCCGTTATCGACTCAGTAATAACAAGGATAACACCTCAAACTCTGTTTCTTTACAGGGAGTGAACAAACTAGACAACAACATGGTGGTGTGTAGAGAGAGTGGAATGTCAGTTAAACAGAATGTTTCATTATTTAACGATGGAGGAAGAGAGATTAATGTAATACTGATGGAATGTATAAGTGTGGAGAGATGAAAATGAAAGGGATGTTTGAAAGAGGTTGAATGAAGGCTGTGAAAGAGGAAGTAAGGTGAAGGAAGGGGGTGTAGGAGATGACAGAGAGAGGCTTGGACGGAGACTGTGAAGTAGGTAGTGAGGTGAGTTAAGGAATGAGGTGTAGGAGATGACTGAGAGAGGTTTGGACGGAGGCTGTGAAGTAGGTAACCAGTGGTCAGGGCTTCTAGCGAGCGTGTATGAGTCTGTTAGATCCCAGCAGAGGAGAGTGGTCTGTGTTGTTGCATACTAATATCTATATAAATATTAACATGGTAATATCCTTATAACATGGTATTATTTCTTAAAAGGCTCGGTTAAAAAACAAGTGTCAAGCCTGTAATACAGTAAAGTTCGTCGCAGGACTTGTACTCCTCACTGATGAAGTGACATATCAGTTTGACATAAGTAACCAAGACGTCTCCACCAGTTCACTTGATAATAAGTCGACAATACAGTGTATAAGAGCCAGACGTCTCCATCAGCGCACTAGATAATACATCGACATTACAATGAAGTAGAAGGACCTGACGTCTCCACCGGTTCACTAGCTGATGATACGTCGACTTTACAACGTAGTACAAGTCAATAGTTTAGTATGATGCCAGAGCAGCGACCCGTCCTCTCTCTCCCTCCCATCACTTTATATCAATAAAAATAAGCTTATAATAATAGAACTTGCATAATGTAACTTGAAATTCAATGTAAGTACCGCATTTGCCGGCAAATAAGGTGCGTTTTTTTCCTAAAAGTCTTGGAAAATCATCCTATGTCTTATATGCTCAAGGTCAGGCTCAAGGGTAGGCTTTGGGTTACGCTTTAGCGGTTGCTTACTAACGTTACGTTACAGCTGACTGGTAACATTGTGCCAGCAATCAACCGACACTCGTGCGCCTTATATGCCGGAAAATACGTATCTAAGATTTGTTTATTAAAATATTTATCTCTCGTTCACCAGAAAGTAATTTGTCATAAAGTCATCAAAAAAAATGTTTTAACTATTCAATTAAAAACTGAGATCAAATTCCTCTTTTGGGATCTGTAGTTGTTTGTTTCTACCAGTTTGGATAACCTTTCTTAAAGAGGATTTTCAGGAATAAAGATAATTGGAATATTTTCCTATTTATTATAATTAATGATTATTTTTTTCCATTCCCTTCTTTATCCTTATGGTGTGTGTGTGTGTGTGTGTGTGTGTGTGTGTGTGTGCTCGCGCGCACATGGCTACGTGTACGTGTGTATGTGGCTGCATGGACACAACCAGGGCTGTGTCCACACGTATTGTGGCGGGTATCTGGTGGTTCTTCACGCTCATCATGATCTCCTCCTACACCGCCAATCTGGCCGCCTTCCTCACCGTCGAGAGGATGGACTCGCCCATCGAGAGTGCTGAGGACCTGGCCAAACAGACCAAGATTAAATACGGCTGCAAGATGGGTGGCTCCACCTACTCCTTCTTCAGGTGAGGGAATGCCCGAAGTTCACCTGCTCTTACTCTCTTCAGGTACTTGATGAGGTCTTAGGACTCTTGTAATCCTTCTGGTAGCTGCTGGCATCTTGGGACTCCTGTAATCCGTCTGGTAGCTTCTGGGATCTTGGGACTCTTGTAGTCCTTCTGGAAGCTGCTGGGAACTTGGGACCCTTGTAGTCCTTTTGGTAGCTGCTGGGATCTTGAGACCCTTGTAGTCCTTCTGGTAGCTGCTGGGATCTTGGGACCCTTGTAATCCTTCTGATAGCTGCTGTGATCTTTGGACCCTTGTAGTCCTTCTGGTAGCTTCTGGGATCTTGGGACCCTTGTAATCCTTGTGATAGCTGCTGGTATCTTGGGACCCTTGTAGTCCTTCTGGTAGCTGCTGGGATCTTGGGACTCTTGTAATACTTCTGGTAGCTGCTGGGAACTTGGGACCCTTGTAGTCCTTCTGGTAGCTGCTGGGATCTTGAGACCCTTGTAATCCTTCTGGTAGCTTCTGGGATTTTGGGACCCTTGTAGTCCTTCTGGTAGCCGCTGGGATCTTGGGACCCTTGTAATCCTTCTGATAGCTGCTGGGATCTTGGGACCCTTGTAGTCCTTCTGGTAGCTTCTAGGATCTTGGGACCCTTGTAATCCTTCTGAAAGCTGCTGAGATTTTGGGACCCTTGCAGTCCTGCTGGAAGCTGCTGGGATCTTGGGACCCTTGTAGTCCTTCTGGAAGCTGCTGGGATCTTGGAACCCTTGTAGTCCTTCTGGAAGCTGCTGGGATCTTGGGACCCTTGTAGTCCTTCTTGTAGCTGCTGGGTTCTTGGGACTCTTGTAATACTTCTGGTAGCTGCTGGGATCTTGGGACTCTTGTAATCCTTCTGGTAGCTTCTGGGATTTTGGGACCCTTGTAAACCTTCTGGTAGCTGCTGGAATCTTGGGACCCTTGTAGTCCTTCTTGTAGCTGCTGGGATCTTGGGACTCTTGTAGTCCTTCTGGTAGCTGCTGGGATCTTGGGACTCTTGTAGTTCTTCTGGAAACTGCTGGGAACTTGGGACCCTTGTAGTCCTTCTGGTAGCTGCTGGGATCTTGAGACCCTTGTAGTAATTCTGGAAGCTGCTGAGATCTTGGGACCCTTGTAGTCCTTCTGGTAGCTGCTGGGATCTTGAGACCCTTGTAGTCCATCTGGTACCTGCTGGGATCTTGGGACCCTTGTAATCCTTCTGATAGCTGCTGGAATCTTGGGACCCTTGTAGTCCTTCTGGTAGTATCTGGGATCTTGGGACCCTTGTACTCCTTCTGATAGCTGCTGGGATTTTGGGACCCTTGCAGTCCTGCTGGAAGCTGCTAGGGTCTTGGGACCCTTGTAGTCCTTCTGGAAGCTGCTGGGATCTTGGAACCCTCGTAGTCCTTCTGGAAGCTGCTGGGATCTTGGGACCCTTGTAGTTCTTCTGGAAGCTGCTGGTATCTTGGGACAGTTGTAGTCCTTCTGGTAGCTGCTGGGATCTTGGGACTCTTGCAATACTTCTGATAGCTGCTGGGATCTTGGGACCCTTGTAATCCTTCTGATAGCTGCTGTGATCTTTGGACCCTTGTAGTCCTTCTGGTAGCTTCTGGGATCTTGGGACCCTTGTAATCCTTTTGATAGCTGCTGGTATCTTGGGGCCCTTGTAGTCCTTCTGGTAGCTGCTGGGATCTTGGGACTCTTATAATTCTTCGGGTAGCTGCTGGGAACTTGGGACCCTTGTAGTACTTCTGGTAGCTGCTGGGATCTTGAGACCCTTGAAATCCTTCTGGTAGCTTCTGGGATTTTGGGACCCTTGTAGTCTTTCTGGTAGCTGCTGGGATCTTGAGACCCTTGTAGTCCCTCAGGTAGCTGCTGGGATCTTGGGACCCTTGTAATCCTTCTGATAGCTGCTGGAATCTTGGGACCCTTGTAGTCCTTCTGGTAGCTTCTAGGATATTGGGATCCTTGTAATCCTTCTGATAGCTGCTGGGATTTTGAGACCCTTGCAGTCCTGCTGGAAGCTGCTGGGATCTTGAGACCCTTGTAGTCCTTCTGGTAGCTTCTGGGATCTTGGAACCCTTGTAGTCCTTCTGGAAGCTGCTGGGATCTTGGGACCCTTGTAGTCCTTCTGGTAGCTGCTGGGATCTTGGAACTCTTGTAATACTTCTGGTAGCTGCTGGGATCTTGGGACCCTTGTAATCCTTCTGATAGCTGCTGTGATCTTTGGACCCTTGTAGTCCATCTGGTAGCTTCTGGGATCTTGGGACCCTTGTAATCCTTTTGATAGCTGCTGGTATCTTGGGGCCCTTGTAGTCCTTCTGGTAGCTGCTGGGATCTTGGGACTCTTGTAATATTTCTGGTAGCTGCTGGGAACTTGGGACCCTTGTAGTACTTCTGGTAGCTGCTGGGATCTTGAGACCCTTGTAATCCTTCTGGTAGCTTCTGGGATTTTGGGACCCTTGTAGTCTTTCTGGTAGCTGCTGGGATCTTGAGACCATTGTAGTCCTTCTGGTAGCTGCTGGGATCTTGGGACCCTTGTAATCCTTCTGATAGCTGCTGGAATCTTGGGACCCTTGTAGTCCTTCTGGTAGCTTCTAGGATCTTGGGACCCTTGTAATCCTTCTGATAGCTGCTGGGATTTTGAGACCCTTGCAGTCCTGCTGGAAGCTGCTGGGATCTTGGGACCCTTGTAGTCCTTCTGGAAGCTGCTGGGATCTTGGAACCCTTGTAGTCCTTCTGGAAGCTGCTGGGATCTTGGGACCCTTGTAGTCCTTCTGGTAGCTGCTGGGATCTTGGGACTCTTGTAATACTTCTGGTAGCTGCTGGGATCTTGGGACCCTTGTAATCCTTCTGATAGCTGCTGTGATCTTTGGACCCTTGTAGTCCTTCTGGTAGCTTCTGGGATCTTGGGACCCTTGTAATCCTTTTGATAGCTGCTAGTATCTTGGGGCCCTTGTAGTCCTTCTGGTAGCTGCTGGGATCTTGGGACTCTTGTAAATACTTCTGGTAGCTGCTGGGAACTTGGGACCCTTGTAGTCCTTCTGGTAGCTGCTGGATCTTGAGACCCTTGTAATCCTTCTGGTAGCTTCTGGGATTTTGGGACCCTTGTAGTCCTTCTGGTAGCTGCTGGGATCTTGAGACCCTTGTAGTCCTTCTGGTAGCTGCTGGGATCTTGGGACCCTTATAATCCTTCAGATAGCTGCTGGAATCTTGTTACACTTATAGTCCTTCTGATAGCTTCTAGGATCTTGGGACCCATGTAATCCTTCTGGTAGTTGCTGGGATTTTGGGACCCTTGCAGTCCTGCTGGAAGCTGCTGGGATCTTGGGACCCTTGTAGTCCTTCGGGAAGCTGCTGGGATCTTGGAGCCCTTGTAGTCCTTCTGGAAGCTGCTGGGATCTTGGGACCCTTGTAGTCCTTCTGGTAGCTGCTGGGTTCTTGGGACTCTTGTAATACTTCTGGTAGCTGCTAGGATCTTGGGACTCTTGTAATCCTTCTGGTAGCTTCTGGGATTTTGGGACCCTTGTAAACCTTCTGGTAGCTGCTGGAATCTTGGGACCCTTGTAGTCCTTCTTGTAGCTACTGGGATCTTGGGACTCTTGTAGTCCTTCTGGTAGCTGCTGGGATCTTGGGAATCTTGTAGTTCTTCTTGTAGCTAATGGGATCTTGGGACTCTTGTAGTCCTTCTGGAAGCTTCTGGGAACTTGGGAATCTTGTAGCCCTTCTGGTAACTGCTGGGATCTTGAGACCCTTGTAGTCCTTCTGGAAGCTGCTGGGATCTTGGGACCCTTGTAGCCCTTCTGGTAACTGCTGGGATCTTGAGACCCTTGTAGTCCTTCTGGTACCTGCTGGGATCTTGGGACCCTTGTAATCCTTCTGATAGCTGCTGGAATCTTGGGACCCTTGTAGTCCTTCTGGTAGCTTCTGGGATCTTGGGACGCTTGTACTCCTTCTGATAGCTGCTGGGATTTTGGGACCCTTGCAGTCCTGCTGGAAGCTGCTGGGATCTTGGGACCCTTGTAGTCCTTCTGGAAGCTGCTGGGATCTTGGAACCCTTGTAGTCCTTCTGGAAGCTGCTGGTATCTTGGGACCCTTGTAGTCCTTCTGGTAGCTGCTGGGATCTTGGGACTCTTGTAATACTTCTGGTAGCTGCTGGGATCTTGGGACTCTTGTAATCCTTCTGATAGCTTCTGGGATTTTGGGACCCTTGTAAACCTTCTGGTAGCTGCTGGAATCTTGGGACCCTTGTAGTCCTTCTTGTAGCTGCTGGGATCTTGGGACTCTTGTAATCCTTCTGGTAGCTGCTGGGATCTTGGGACTCTTGTAGTCCTTCTGGTAGCTGCTGGGATCTTGGGACCCTTGCAGTTCTTCTGGAAGCTGCTGGGATCTTGGGACCCTTGCAGTTCTTTGTCATATAGCTGCTTAGTTTTGGTACTTTTGCATTCCTGCGAGGTATCTGTTGTCCTGGGACCCTTGTAGTCCTTTTTCAGGTACCTGATGAGGTCTTGGGATCTTTGTAGTCTTTCTTCAAGTCCCTGCTGAGGTTTACCCCAAGGCTCACAGAGAACCATCACTGACTGGTACTACATCACGTCTCATACTTGCAGCTTTTCCTCGTGCATATATATATTATATATATATATATATATATATATAATATATATATATATATATATATAATATATATATATATATATATATATATATATATATATATAATATACATGTCGTGCCGAATATGTAAAATTGGGCAATTTAGCAAGAACTCGTTTAAAATTAAGTCCTTTCTGAAATTTTCTCTTATACGTTTAAAGATATATTTTTTTCATTAATGTTAATGTAAAAAATTTTAATTTTGCACCAAAAGAATCTCAGAAAACTTACACTGACCTTATTATAACAAGAGTAATTTATTTTAGCCTAACCCAACTAAATATATTTTAAATACGTTTACAATAATTTAGTACTAAACAAACACAATAAAATATTTTTTTTCGTTAGGTTCAGAATGATTTTGGCGAAATTATTGCATACACAAATTTTCACTTGTCCTATATGACAAGATGAGAGTTGCTATTTAAGCCAAGGTCGCAAGTTCTGCCTATTCGGCACGACATATATATATATATATATATATATATATATATATATATATATATATATATATATATATATATATATATATTATATATTATATCAACTTGCACATATGTCTTGCTCAGCCCGGGAATCAAACCCATGTTCTATCGGCTGTGAGCTCGTAGCATGTATACGTGTATGTGTGTGTATGTGTATAAATAACGGTAGACACTAACAGGAAATCACCTGGATAGCAGGAAGGAGTGTAGAGATGAAGGTTACATGTGGCAGTGTCACGCTGGAGGACATGGGTACAGTTACCGCTGGTGGGGGAGGGACGGGAGGGAGTGATAGAGGGGAGAGAGGGAGTGATGCAGGAGAGGGAGGGAGTAATGCAGGAGAGGGAGGGAGTGATGCAGGGGAGGGAGGGAGTGATGCAGGAGAGGAGGGAAGTGATGCAGGAGAGGGAGGGAATGAGTGATAAGGGGGAGACAGGGAGTAATGCAGGAGAGGGAGGGAGTAATGCAGGAGAGGGAGGGAGTGATGCAGGAGAGGGAGGGAGTGATGCAGGAGAGGGAGGGAGTGATGCAGGGGAGGGAGGGAATGAGTGATAGAGGGGAGACAGGGAGTAATGCAGGAGAGGGAGGGAGTAATGCAGGAGAGGGAGGGAGTGATGCAGGAGAGGGAGGGAGTGATGCAGGGGAGGGAGGGAGGGAGTGATAGAGGGAGGGAGGGAGTGATGCAGGAGAGGGAGGGAGTGATGCAGGGGAGGGAAGGGAGGAGTGATAGAGGGGAGAGAGGGAGTAATGCAGGAGAGGGAGGGAGTAATGCAGGAGAGGGAGGGAGTGATGCAGGGAGGGAGGGAATGAGTGATGAGGGGAGACAGGGAGTAATGCAGGAGAGGGAGGGAGTAATGCAGGAGAGGGAGGGAGTGATGCAGGGGAGGGAGGGAGGGAGTGATAGAGGGGAGGGAGGGAGTAATGCAGGAGAGGGAGGGAGTGATGCAGGAGAGGGAGGGAGTGATGCAGGGGAGGGAGGGAATGAGTGATAGAGGGGAGACAGGGAGTAATGCAGGAGAGGGAGGGAGTAATGCAGGAGAGGGAGGGAGTGATGCAGGAGAGGGAGGGAGTGATGCAGGGGAGGGAGGGAGGGAGGTGATAGAGGGGAGGGAGGGAGTGATGCAGGAGAGGGAGGGAGTGATGCAGGGGAGGGAGGGAGGGAGTGATAGAGGGGAGGGAGGGAGTGATGCAGGAGAGGGAGGGAGTGATGCAGGGGAGGGAGGGAGGGAGTGATAGAGGGGAGAGAGGGAGTAATGCAGGAGAGGGAGGGAGTAATGCAGGAGAGGGAGGGAGTGATGCAGGGGAGGGAGGGAGGGAGTGATAGAGGGGAGGGAGGGATTGATGCAGGAGAGGGAGGAGTGATGCAGGGGAGGGAGGGAGGGAGTGATAGAGGGGAGAGAGGGAGTAATGCAGGAGAGGGAGGGAGTAATGCAGGAGAGGGAGGGAGTGATGCAGGGGAGGGAGGGAGGGAGTGATAGAGGGGAGGGAGGGAGTGATGCAGGAGAGGGAGGGAGTGATGCAGGGGAGGGAGGGAGGGAGTGATAGAGGGGAGAGAGGGAGTAATGCAGGAGAGGGAGGGAGTAATGCAGGAGAGGGAGGGAGTGATGCAGGGGAGGGAGGGAGGGAGTGATAGAGGGGAGGGAGGGAGTGATGCAGGAGGGGAGGGAGTGATGCAGCAGGGGAGGGAGGGAGGGAGTGATAGAGGGAGAGAGGGAGTAATGCAGGAGAGGGAGGGAGTAATGCAGGAGAGGGAGGGAGTGATGCAGGAGAGGGAGGGAGTGATGCAGGAGAGGGAGGGAGTGATGCAGGAGAGGGAGGGAGTGATGCAGGAGAGGGAGGGAGTAATGCAGGAGAGGGAGGGGGTGATGCAGGAGAGGGAGGGAGTGATGCAGGAGAGGGAGGGAGTGATAGAGGGGAGAGAGGGAGTAATGCAGGAGAGGGAGGGAGTAATGCAGGAGAGGGAGGGAGTGATGCAGGAGAGGGAGGGAGTGATGCAGGAGAGGGAGGGAGTAATGCAGGAGAGGGAGGGAGTGATGCAGAAGAGGGAGGGAGTAATGCAGGAGAGGGAGGGGGTGATGCAGGAGAGGGAGGGAGTGATGCAGGAGAGGGAGGGAGTGATGCAGGAGAGGGAGGGAGTAATGCAGGAGAGGGAGGGAGTGATGCAGGAGAGGGAGGGAGTAATGCAGGAGAGGGAGGGGGTGATGCAGGAGAGGGAGGGAGTGATGCAGGAGAGGGAGGGAGTAATGCAGGAGAGGGAGGGAGTGATGCAGGAGAGGGAGGGAGTATGCAGGAGAGGGAGGGGTGATGCAGAGAGGGAGGGAGTGATACAGGAGAGGGAGGGAGTGATGCAGGGGAGGGAGGGAGGGAGTGATAGAGGGGAGGGAGGGAGTGATGCAGGAGAGGGAGGGAGTGATGCAGGGGAGGGAGGGAGGGAGTGATAGAGGGAGGGAGGGAGTGATGCAGGAGAGGAAGGGAGTGATGCAGGAGAGGGAGGGAGGGAGTGATAGAGGGGAGGGAGGGAGTGATGCAGGAGAGGGAGGGAGTGATGCAGGGGAGAGAGGGAGTGATAGAGGGGAGGAGGGAGTGATGCAGGAGAGGAAGGGAGTGATGCAGGGGAGGGAGGGAGGGAGTGATAGAAGGGAGGGAGGGAGTGATGCAGGAGAGGGAGGAGAGATGGCAGGGGAGGGAGGGAGGGAGTGATAGAGGGGAGTGGAGGGAAGTGATGCAGGAGAGGGAGGGAGTGATGCAGGGGAGAGAGGGAGTGATAGAGGGGAGGGAGGGAGTGATGCAGGAGAGGAGGGAGTGATGCAGGGGAGGGAGGGAGGGAGTGATAGAGGGGAGGGAGGGAGTGATGCAGGAGAGGGAGGGAGGGAGTGATAGAGGGAGGGAGGAGGATGCAGGAGAGGGAGGAGGAAGTGAAGAGGGGAGGGAGGGAGTGATAGAGGGAGGGGAGGGAGTGATGCAGGAGAGGGAGGGAGGGAGGGAATGATGCATGAGAGGGAGTGGGTGATGGAGGTGAGTCAGTGTTATGTATCATTTATTACAAAGTCAACCATGTTAACTCTGCTTCTCGCTCAGCTTTTTAACGGGAAATATAACCATAGTTTTTATAGGTGTGAAGTGGTAAGCCAGTGGAAGGCCTCGGTCAGATTACCAAAAGCTCCAGATGTGGGTCATCATATGACTAAGACCCGCGTCAGGAAACACTCACCCATCCTGTTTCCTGACAAACCTTACCTAACCTAACCACTCATTTCACAACATCTTGGGATCCTCACTGACCAATCTTCAGTCCAGGACCAGGATGAGACTAGTGGCTAGTGTCAAAAGTGTCAGTTTTTAGCTTATGTCAGATGTGTTGTAAAATCGCTCCTTAAACACACATGTTCCTGTCATATTATATACTATCATAACCAGCATAAATATGACTGACACAACGTACGAAGTGATCGTGAAGGTCAGACCTTACTTCTTTTTAAGAAAATAACCCAAACTTCTTTTTAAAACACCCCAAAAACCCTGATCCCAGGAGCACTGATGCCTGATTTCAAGACGCCTCCCTCTATCCAGTTGCTAAACCCTGACCTCATCGTCTCTGATCCCTGATTTCTTCAAGATGCCTCCCTATATCCAGTTGCTAAACCCTGACATCGACATCCCTGACCCCTGATTCCTAATTTCTTCAAGACGCCTTCCTCTCTCCAGTTGCTAAACCTCGACGCCCCTGACCCCTTGCTCCGCCCTTTCAACAACAGGGACAGCAGCATCCCCACTTACCAGAGGATGTGGTCTGTCATGTCAAGCGCCAGACCTACGGTCTTCACGGAGAGTAACGATGCTGGAGTAGAGAAAGTGGCCAAGGCTGACGGCCAGTACGCTTTCCTCATGGAGTCCTCCTCCATCGAGTACGTTGTGGAGCGCAAGTGTGAGCTGACCCAAGTTGGTGGACTACTTGACTCCAAGAGCTATGGTATCGCTCTTCCACCAGGTAAGATTGGTGGGTGGTTCTTGTGTGTTGTTATAGTTGTGAATTGCAATGGTTGTGTTGTGGTGGCCAAATTGATGTGATTGTGGTGGCCGAATTGATGTGATTGTGGTGGTCGTGGTATGAGTGGCATTGCGGTGGTTGTGATATGAGTGGTATTGCGGTGGTTGTGGTATGAGTGGTATTGTTGTGGTTGTGTGTTGTGATAGTTATGAACTGCGATGGTTGTGTTGTGGTGACTGCATTGTGGAGACTGGTATGAGTGGTATTTTCTGGTTGTGGTGTAAGTGCTTGTGTTCTTGTGGTGGTTGTATTGCTGTGGTGGTTGTATTGTTGAGGTGATTGTATTGTTGTGGTGATTGTATTGTGGTGGTTGTGTGTTCTGATGGTTGTGAATTACGATGGATGTGTTATGGTGATTGCACTGTAGTGACTGTGGTACGAGTGGTATTGTGGTGGTTGTGGCGCGAGTGGTTGTGTTGTGACGGTTGTGGTGTGAGTGCTTGTGGCATGTTTATGGTATGTTTGTGATGTGAGTGTTTGTGGTGTGAGTGTTTGTGGTGTGAGTGGTTGTAGTATGAGTTCCTGTGTTGTTGTGGTGGCGGTTGCAGTGTTGTGGTGGTTGTGTTGTGGTGGTTGTGTTGTGGTGGTTGTGTTGTGGTGGTTGTGTTGTGGTGGTTGTGTTGTGGTGGTTGTGTTGTGGTGGTTGTGTTGTGGTGGTTGTGTTGTGGTGGTTGTGTTGTGGTGGTTGTGTTGTGGTGGTTGTGTTGTGGTGGTTGTGTTGTGGTGGTTGTGTTGTGGTGGTTGTGCTGTGGTGGTTGTGTTGTGGTGGTTGTGTTGTGGTGGTTGTGTTGTGGTGGTTGTGTTGTGGTGGTTGTGTTGTGGTGGTTGTGTTGTGGTGGTTGTGTTGTGGTGGTTGTGTTGTGGTGGTTGTGTTGTGGTGGTTGTGTTGTGGTGGTTGTTATGGTGTGAGTAGTTATGAATTTGTCATTCTTGGTCCATATTACATTTGTGCGTGTATGTACATTGTGTTTATATATGTGTGTATGTGTGTTTGTGTGTGTGTGTGTGTGTGTGTTTGTGTGTGTGTGTGTGTGTGTGTGTGTGTGTGTGTGTGTGTGTGTGTGTGTGTGTGTGTGTGTGTGTGTGTGTGTGTGTGTGTGTAATTGTCTGTTAAAATTTTTGAGTATAATTCGTGTTGCTAAGTGTTCAACTTAAGATTCACTGACATGATTCAGCTCTGTGAATGAATTATGCCAGAGTGGATTTTTTTAAAGGTGTATATTAGATACTTTCACGAAAAGTAAAATAAGTCACATCACTAAGTTAATCTAGGTTGAAATCTGTATAATTCACTATATAAATAAAGCCATTGTAAAGGCTTAAAATTATGTAAAAGGCCTAAATGAAACTTACAATTTCTTTGGTTGGTTGGTAAATGAGATTTTAAAGTCTATCGACTACACGAGGGTTATTAAGATTGCATGTCACCTATTTACCACCACCCAAGAATATTTTACCTCCCTGAATAAACACTAAATCTCCATGGGGGAAGTGAAGAAGAATCCTTCCTCCGTAAGCCATGCTTGCCGTAAGAGACGACTAAAATGCCGGGAGCAACGGGATGGTAACCTTCTCCTGTATAAATTACTAAATATAAAAAGAAGAAAAGCTTTTGTTTCTTCTTTTTCGGGTCACCTTGCCTCGGTGGGAGACGGCCGATGTTAAAAAAAATAGGCACTAAAATACACTCAGCATTTATTCACTGAGGAACATACACTTCATAGTCAAGATATTCTTGTAACAATTTGTTTGCAATTAATTAAATTTCTAGAAGTCACATGGCTATGAATTTGTATATAATTCGAAATATAATAGTACATGTAAGTCAAATTAATATATGATGCCTTAAACCAAGCTAAACCCAAATTTAAGAAGATGTTATTGATAACGTGGGTGCCTCCCTGGTACAGGGTCGCCCTTCACAGGTGCCATCAGCTCGGCCGTATTGATGCTGAAGGAGAATGGCATGCTGCACAAACTGAAGAACAAGTGGTGGAAACAGCGCAAAGGTGGAGGGCATTGCCAGGTAAGAACACCTTACAAGGGCCAGCAACACTCGAGCATTCTTCCCCACCTCCTCAAAAAAAATTATATGAAGGAATATTGTCGGGAAATTGGTACGCACTGGAAAAAAATCTAACTTTATACCCCAGTGGCTACTAAATTAAGATATTCTGATTTATATTAAGATTTTTTGTTTCAAATTACTGCATTTACAAAATCATGAAGTCTATAGGATGCACAGCATTTCGGGTGTATATAACATGGTATATTTTAGGCATATGTTCTCCAAAATATTTGTATATCTATATATGGTATGTAGTGGTGGACAGGGAGTCAACCTGGCATTGTATGTGACGGGATCATCCAGCCTGAATGACAGGATCATCCAGCCTGGATGACGGGATCTACCAGCCTGGATGTAAGATAGTAGTGGTATAAGAGGGTGAGTTCAGAAAGGAGAGAGACTATGATTGAAGTTAGTATACAATAGTTATTATTATTATATTACTGGAGAGAGCGGTAAATCCAGAGGTCATACACCGCTTGTCGAATAGGAATCAATCATGTTCGATCTAGAGGAAGAACTGATCAGATTCCCGGGATCAAGAGCCCCTCACCGGCATCAAGGCACCACCCTGGAGGGGGTAAAGCCCCCACACCACACTCACACACGTAGTTGATCTTAACACAACCATCAACATACTGTTATGTTCTTAAAATTTTCTTTCTTCTGGCAGCCTCGTATGTAGTTCTACTGCCTAGAGTATATTTCTGTCACCTAGTGTATATTTCTATCACCTAGCGTGTAACTAGTTACTGCGTAGAGGGTTCGTAGATTGCGGTAGCCTACTAGCAATTTTTTTTTGTAGAAAATTGAAGTGTGTATAAACATAAGTTCGCTGCCCCTCTTGTGCATCAACCAGCGCAGGAGCAACTGAATGGTGTCTATCTACAAGCGACGTCGTAGTTTGCCCTAGACTGAGTTGCTGAGTGTTTATAACCACGAGAGCTGGTGCTACTGCTGGTGCTGCTACTGTTGTTGTTGTTGTTGTTGTTGTTGTTGCTGCTGCTGCTGCTGCTGCGGCTGCAGCTGCGGCCGCGGCTGCGGTTGCGGCCGCGGCTGCGGCTGCGGCAGCTGGTAGAAGTTTCGAGGAGAGAGCCGCCAACGGCGAAGAAAGACCTCTCGACTGACAGAAGTGAAGAAGACCTCGCTTGCCTATCTTCCTCCTTCCTTCCCTCCTCTCCCTCCCTCCCTCAGCGCCAACCATGTTCTCCTGTCCTCCTTACTTTACGCTATCGATACACCATTCTTCACTCCTTCCCTCCAAACACTCAGCTCCTGGCCCTACCTCCTGACTTAGTTCCCCTCCTTGTAGCTCCTGCTTCCTTCAAATGCACTTTTTCTTATATTCCCTAATCTATTCCCCCATCGCATTCTCTTCCTTTTCTTCACCTTCCTCCTCCTCTTCTTTATCCTCACCTTCCTCCTCCTCTTCCCTCTCCTCACTTTCCTCCTCTTCCTTTTCCTCACCTTCCTCCTCCTTCTCTTCCTTTTCTTTTTTCCTTCTCGTCTTCATCTTCATTTTCTCCCTCTTACTCCCCTTCTTAACAAAAAGTAGCGACACGCTTCGGTTGGCATCATACACATATATCCTCCATTCCTCCTCCTTTACTCCTATTCCACCATCCCTCCTCCGCTATTCTTCCTCTCTTATTTCTTTCCTCCTTTTCTCTTTCTCACCCTCGTTCCTCACTACCACTTCTAGAGTTCGTCATGTATCATTAACAGACACTTAACAAGTAATTTGCACATAAGAGAAAGAAAGTTAAGACAATGTTTCGGTTCGACTTGGACCACTGACTATGGTACCTTTTTGTTCTTCAACAATCACTTGTACTGCCATTGCCAGTCACGTACCCTCCCACTGACACTGGTCACTAGAAGGTGCCAGTGCCACACTGAGTGCACTAAACGCCCTTTGTGTTCTTGGTATATCTCTTCATATACATCACAATCATTTACAGTCTAAGTAACGGTGTGCAGCGGTTCACAAACACACGCAGCCTCGCTGCAGTTAAATTATGACAATCTGGACTGGTAGCGATGCCTGAATGTTGCAACAACAAAGAATAATGTTGATGTTGCAAACATCGTATCAGCTATTTCAGTTGAAATGCAGAGCCTTTATGGCGGTATGTTCACTAAGGATGAATGGTGCCACCTAATACTGTCTTTAAGGGAGTATATTCACTCATTATAAGTGGTGCTGCCTTATACTGTATATAAAATAGTACATTCACTCTTAGGACTGGTGTAGGTACGTTCTCTCTCTGAGCAGCGGCACTATCTAACAAACTCACCTTTATGGCCAAATTTTAGATCTGGTCTTGTGACACTACCAATGGATACTGCTGCTTCCTTCACTCCTCACCCTCCCTTCATTCCTTCGCTCCTCACCCTCCCTTCATTCCTTCACTCCTCACCCTCCCTTCATTCCTTCGCTCCTCGCCCTCCATTCATTCCTTCACTCCTCACCCTCCCTTCATTCCTTCACTCCTCGCCCTCCCTTCATTCCTTCACTCCTCACCCTCACTTCATTCCTTCGCTCCTCACCCTCCCTTCATTCCTTCACTCCTCACCCTCCCTTCATTCCTTCACTCCTCACCCTCCCTTCATTCCTTCGCTCCTCACCCTCCCTTCATTCCTTCACTCCTCACCCTCCCTTCATTCCTTCACTCCTCACCCTCCCTTCATTCCTTCACTCCTCACCCTCCCTTCATTCCTTCGCTCCTCGCCCTCCCTTCATTCCTTCACTCCTCACCCTCCCTTCACCCTTTTCATCCTTTATTTCAAGTCATCTCAATTCATTATTTTTCATTCTTGTTTTTCTTGGTATACTTCGACTGACCTAGTTTTTATCCTCCTTTCCTATCAATACTAAAATTTTAAACTTCCTTAACAGTTAACTGACGTTATTTTCAGGATTAAAAACTTCCGAGAATTTGAAATAACTTTTTTTTTACGAAATTCAAAGTTTATTGAGAATTTCAACTAAAAGTTCCTACATAACTCTTCGAAATCCTATAGAATATCCTGAACAGCTCCAACAAATATCCCTTACAGTTGTCTAAGAATGATATACCTCTGTTTCTCACTCTATCTCTCTTCCTCTCTCTCACCTCCGATTTTTTTCTCTCTCTCTTGCATCTTTCTCTCCTCTGAACCTTTCTCTCTTTCCCGCTCATCTTTCTCTTCCCCTGCAACTTTCTTCACCCTCTGCCTTTCCCTCCATTCCCTTTTCACGTCACGAACATTTACAACGACTCAAACACCACAACAAATCCTCACACTAGCTGTTGGACTGGACCTTCTCTGTGTTTGTGTGTATCTGTGTGTTTTAGCATGCTCACTAATCCAGAACTCTGCCACGCATGCCCTAAAACTTGCCGAGCATGCCTAATAACCTGCCAAGCATGCCCGAGAACCTAATCAAGGCTGCCCGAGAACCTGCCACGCATGCCAAACTTATTTCAGACTCATCTTTTGTGTTTCCCCTCTTCCATGGTGCTCTTTAATGTTTACAGCCACTTGTTCTCCTCATTTACAATTTACAAGTCACGGGGAACGATGCAACTGTATATATTTACTAGTGGGCTAATCTCTCTTCAGTTTCAGTTTTTTGTGTTCACTTGCCCAGGTTATAGTGTTTGGGCACGTTAATTGTGTTTTAATGGCTGGTGACCTCTGATGACCTGACCCTTCCCTCTTGTTTGCTGCCATCCATTCACTCACAGCTGCTGTGATACCACCCATGTGTCCTGTGTTGCTCTGCTACCCATCTGCACAGCCTTGTGTGTCCACCAACCGATGACAAGCCTCCAATGTATCCGTCAACTGCTACCAGTGTTTTTATTTCCAGACACTTAGGTGTTTAGCAGTACATGTATACATTCACCTGTTTCCAGCACCTATGTGTCTAGCCAGTCCCGTGTCAGAGCACCTTTGTGTCCAGAGCCTCTGTGTCCTCAAATAAAACAATCACATTTCCTAACGGGATAATATATTTTGCATCTTAGACAATTAGATATTCTCAGACTCTTTTTTTCTAAATAAAATAATATTAAATGTGTTTATTAAGTTTTGTGTCCTGATACGTATGTGTCCCTCCAACACTCTCCCCCCCTCATCCTGTTCATTGGTACTGGGCGTTAGATGTCCCGTTATGGGTGGCATCCTGGGGAAGAGGATAAAAGGACCTTATTAGGAATAAGCCAGATACAGTGGTTTTACTGGGTTATCTTGGGTTACTAACCCAGAGGGTTAATAATCCAAATAAAACTTTCTCCTTTTTTTTCTCTTCCCTCCTGAGGCTCCTTATCTCTATTGCTCATTATTCTGCTGCTGCTGCTGCTGCTGCTGCTGCTGCTGCTGTTGCTGTTATTTCTTCAAAATCTTTCTACTGCAATCTACTGCCTTCTGTCACCACCATCACTTCCTCTGCCACCGCCACCACTAGTCCACTGCAACCACCACCACTGTTACCATTGTTACCACTGTAATCACCACCACTACGACCACTAGCCACCACCACTACTACCACTAGCCACCACCACTACTACCACTAACCACCACCACTACGACCACTGCTAACATTGCAACCACCACCACAAGTACCACTGTTACCACTGTAACCACCACCACTACGAACACTGCTAACACTGCAGCCACCACCACCAGTACCATTACTACCACCACTACGACCACTGCAACCACCACTACTGGTACCACTACTAATACTGTTGTCACCACCACTACTGCCACCATCACTGCTAGTGAAACTGTCGCCACTACTATCACTGCCACCACCACTACTACCACTCCCAACACCACTTCTACCACTGCCACCACCACTTCTACCACTGCCACCACCATCACCACCATGTAACATCAAAGTCACTAGTGAAATGGTTATGAAACAAATAGATCGACTGAAGCAAAATAAGTCGCCGGGACCTGATGAG